AAAAAAAAAAAAAAAAATTAAAAAAAACCCAGCTTATTTACGCGCGCGAAGGATTCACGGAATCGTCGAACCGAATGTATGGGTATTTTTTGTATTTTTTTATTTTTTTTGCATACATTATAGAGTAGTGAGAGAAAAAAAAACACCGTAAAAATACTAAATACACCAGGCCTTTTTTTTGAATTATTATTATCATTATAAAATGTATCATATTATATTGTATATTAATATCGTAAGCGAGTTGATTAAAAAAAAAAGGGAGAAAAAAAAAACTCCCTCGTATAACCGATGGTCGCCGTTATCGATGCACGCGCGTCGTCCGGCGAAACGGAACTTTTTTGGAGGGGGGAGGTGGAAACAAAAAACCAAAATGAAAAGTAAAAAATCGGTGAAAACACGTGTGGGGGAGAGAGGGTAGGAAATGAATGGTTTTATTGAAATTTTTAATTCTCAACGGTAAATAATTAGTTCCGACCGACCGGTTGTTGCCGCGCCATCGCGTACAGTAACGATAACAACGAAATTATCATTTTTTTTTTTTTTTTTTTTTTTTTTACGCTTTACAAAAAAACACCCGCGACGGTTTTCGCAGTCCGTGCAGTCGCGCGCGTTCCGAAAATCGCGGCACTTCAAATTACGTACGACCGGACTGCGCCCGGAACCGTCTTTCGTCGAGCAGTTGTTTCATCGCTGCTTACGGATGCGAATGAAACAACCTCCTCGTGCATCCCACCATCCCGAACTACCCGCCTATTATGACTTTGGCCACACACCCGTCACAAAGTATCGGCGTGTTTTCGATTCCGAATCCCGTACCGTTTTCCCCCGTGACAATACAAAATCACGACCGCGCACCGTTATTTTTTTGCCAGACGCAGCGCCGTACGTGAAAAAAGCTGGAAAATCGTTAAAAGCGTTTTGTTCGAAAATGACACACGTAACATGCGCGGCGCATGGCTTGCACCGCGAAACGGGTTCGCGATCACTTTTGGCGCCGTTGACAAATCAGTCGCGAAAAACGTAAAAAAAAAAAAAAAGCATTTAAAAAAGCACCCACTTGGAGTGGCTTGGATGCGTGTTTACCACCAGATCCCGTAATTACGAGCCGGAGATCGCGTATTGACGCGGCCGTTTATTATTGCGAACATTTAAACACCGTTCGTCGCGTTGTGACCGGGCTCGATGCGAGCATAACAAAAAAAAAAAAAAAAAAAATCGAACCGAAAAAAATACATCGTTAAACCGGGTCTTGAGAGTGACTCAACGTATATAAAATCAAACAGACAAAAGGTCTTTGTTTAACAACCGCTTTAAAAATAATTGAGGATATCGATCGGGCGGTAATTGGAAAAAGAAAAGACGAAAACTGCGTTCGGAAACAACAACGGCTCGCCGACGTTAAAACGCGTCTCCGAAATATTGGCCGGTAAAGGCGAAAATAATCAATTAGAACGTGAACGGTTGACCGGTGAGGATACAGTGTTTTTTTTTTCGGGTATTCGCCCGCCACATCGGTAGACGTAGAGCGTTCCGTCTCGACGCCCGCCACTAGTTTTCGACGTATTTTCGGGAACCGGGATGTTTGAGCCGCTCGCCCTCTAGGAAAGCCTCTAATTACTCGGCGCCAAGTACCGGACGCCGTCTCTCCGCGAATGGCCGATACCTCGGAACAGCGGACGAAATTTCAGTAGACCCCGGGAGGGTGTGCGGTGGCGGCGGTTTCACGCGGTATCGGCGTTTTAATATTTTCCGTTTTTCTCATTCGTCGTGACCGTTGAGTTGCCGTGATAAAGAGACGAATTCGTTCTGGACACGTCCGAGGGTCGATAGACGTGTCGCACGCGTCACCGCTCCCCCTATCGAGCGCGCCACCGTCGGGAATCCGCGGAAAACGGCAAGTGGATTACAAAATTTTCGGCGAAAACCGAAAATACAAACGGACGTGGTTCGCACTGTGCGCGGGCCACCGTTGTTGGCGAGCGGCCAGCCGGGAAGTCGGGGTTCGGAGGGCGTTTCAACGCGCATCTGTGCACGCGACGCTAACGGGAAACGATTCTGAGCGGGGTTCGACTGTACTGCGTCACGGTCCGAGAGGCCGCGATATTTACGATACGAAAATAACGCGTTACGTAGATTTTCCCGTGTTTTCCTACGGTACCGTTCCGCGGATAATTCCATTCGGAATGCGTGCTATACCTGCTGGGAAATCGGTGCAGAATGTCGCGCGCGGGAAAAATAATAAAACAAATAGACACCATTGTAAAACCAATACATTCTCCGTTCCGCTCGGTCTACAACGTATTGTCGTTTAAATGCGAGTCTAACCCAAAGAGACGTATAAAGACCAGTAATCTATAATACGCATTACCGTTCATCGCGATAATACTAGTGCCGCTTTACCCCCTGCCCATTATTATAGATTACAGTGTGCTGTCATATTGTTATAGAAAATAAACGCACTGTAATTCCGTGTCGAACAGATTGTCGGTTTTTTTTTTTCATTCAATCTCTATTATTAAAAATCATAAAAAATATACCCGTTAAAAAAAAAATCGCGTAAGAACCCCCCCCCCAAAAAAAAAAAAAAAATCAATTAAAAATATTCTCGTGTTTTTTTTTTACGCAATGCATAACGATAATGATAACAAATAACAATGCGAAACAAGCATTCAATAATACAATTCTATATTTTATTATTATTATTATAATTAGTATTTTTTTTATCGAAACGAAAAAAAAACGTTATTGGGTTTTTGGCTTTTATCAATCGCTCTGGACGATGGCAATGATGTCGATGACGATGAAATAATATTATCGCGACGAGCAGCGTGGGGTTTTTTTTTTTTCTTTTCCACCGTCGAGAATTCCATAAACGATTTATTTTTTCTTCGTCTTTTGCCGCTTTACACCGCCGCCGCCCATTATTATTAATATTTTCGGCGCTACTGTTACGACGGCGCGGTTTTCGTTGTTCATAAATCTGTCGAGCCGGTAAGCCCGTGACCCGTGACCGTTATTATTATTATTATTATTATTTAAAGTCGCGAGGAATAATGAAAAAAAAAAAAAAAAATTCCGAGACGCTTATGGCTTTCATTTTTTTTTTTTTAAAGTAAATACCAATAAGGAAAGAACCTTCGTATATCAAAGAGAACCGCCTACATAACATTATAGTATATATACGCATCTGTTTGGTGACATTTTGAATGTATAGAAATCCGGACGCGCGGTTCACTGCGCGTGCGTATAATAAAAGGCGAAAAAGGGCCGGGGTGGGTGTAGTGGGGACGGCGGCGATGTTTCGAAAAAAGAGATCGCTGAGTGACATTTTTTTATATATATATTCCTATACAAATCTACATTGTATCGTTCGACGGCGCGACGATATTAAAAAAAAAAAAAAAAATTTTAAATAAATAAATAAAAAAGTCGATCGAAAAAGGCATGCGTACACCGGTATACCTACGTTACGATGCAGACCGCTCGAGGTATATAACCAAACCTAACCCGAAACCTACGTAACGTTATAACTACGGATTCGCGCGGTTTTATTGGTGACTGCGTCCCGGTTCCGTCGCGACAACTATTTTTCATTCCAATTCCGTCCCGATTAAAAATTTCCTTACCAATGTTAAAATACACATAAATGATACGAAAAAATCCAAAGATTTGTCATCAACCACTGAAAATCTTTTTTTTTAATTCCGCCTTTCTCAAGTTTAGGGTACCTACGAGAGATAGACTCTTAGGAGCCCCTTTTTTTGTATGCAATACTCAAAGGATTTTAATACGGTGTTCACTAACGGATCGGCCGAGTCACGGGTAAGGTTTATAGCTATTGACATCCATCCCTTACTGAAAACCATCCCTCAAATTAAGATTTTAATTTATTATTATTGATTTATTTATTAGGATAACCTTAGTAACACGGATGAAATTAAAAAAAAATTTTAAATGTTGGTCAAAACGTATCTATATGGTAACTAATATTAAAACAATAAGTAATTAATACCATAGTTTTTCTATGTGCTAAATTATGCGATACAATTGTAAACTGCCTGTAAACATTTTTTTTGCTTTTTAGTCATGCCTATCTATACCTCGGTCCAATAAAAGACGCAACACGGCAAATGCTAAAAGAGTACGCTTAGCGCGTAGTAATGAAACTTCCGGTGATCGAGACTACGGACTTTCTCAAAAAGAGATTGTCGAAAGAAATCGTATGCCGATTTTCAAAGTCCAATGCCAGGTACGTCATCAAAGTATATCATTATATTTGTACATTAGGGGGCGCGGGCAGTGCACGACAAACGAAAATTAAAGAGTGATGAACCCGATTTTAATGACGTGTGTGGTTCTTCAAACGCAAGAAAGAGACAAGGGCCCGACGATGGAGATTTCGTGACAGCTGAGCCAATGATAATTTCGATGCGATTCCCGTTGTCGGTGACCGCTACCGTGAAATCCGGTGGGCCGCTGTTGACTATACTGCCGCGAAGCGGCGTGCGTTTAAACATTTTAATGCCGGGGACAATAACGCGCGTGGACGAAATATTGAAAACGCTGCCGATCGTAAACGCGTAACGCGCGCCGCCGGACAGCACGGACGGCATGCCGAACACGAGAGCGCGAGCGAGTTGTACCCGGCGTTGTTTGTTTAGAACCCGTCGGGAAAACGGTGACCGTTTCCTCGATGACGGACAAAAAACTGCCGATTTTACGACGGAGGCGGTTGTCCGCACAACAGTCACCGCCGCGGGCCCCACACCGGTAACATCATTGAAGACAACGCATAATACGCCCGTCCAATCGTTTCACCTCGACGCGAAATGCGTACCGTTGACGAAGCGTCGCCCCGCTCGGAATAGTTTTCTGTTTTCGTTAGCGACGGCCCAGCGGCTCGACGGCTTAACCGAACGTAACGGCCGCCCGTCCCCGTCATTCGAGCGCGGCTTTTTCCGGCGTCCCGTCTTTGGCGTCCAAACGTAACCGCCACCTCGCCCGTTCGCGGCGGTTTCGCCGATTCGCATTCGCGATCGCCGCGATAACCGAAACGCACGCGTCTTTTGTCGTCGTCGTCGCTGTTTGTCGTTTTTCTTTTTCCGCCTCTTGAAATTCGCATTGTACGCGTGTTGCTAGCGTCCGGCCAGCGCCGTAAACGATTATCACGACGGTTGTCGTCGCCGCGCCGCCGCACAATCGTTGGGCGAAACGCGGAACGATATTCAGGGTTTTTTCACGCCGAGAACCGCCGGCGCGGCGTTTTCTCCGGGCGCGCGCCGCCGCCGCCGTAAATCATGTACGGAGTCCAAGCGCGGCGGCGGCGGCGTTTTGATTAATCTCCGTTGAGGATTTCACCAGTTGTCCCGAACACATTTTCACATAGTTCGAAACGGTTTATCGTCCGCGTTCGGATAGTTTTGTCGCGAGTTTTCAGCAAAGAATTTCGCATACGCGACTATATTATTAATAATATACGCGGGCGCGCGCGAGTATACAGAAAGCGGCCGTACGGTAATAATAATAATAACAGTTGACAAAAGTTAGAAAAACTATTCGGGCGTTCGCACGTGCCTACGCCGCGGCACAACTCACAGTCGCGGAAAATGTAACGCCGTCGCCGCCGTTGTTATTATTTCCGTAACCGGCGCGTACGGTTCGCGGCGAAAAAACACACCGTACGCGTTGTTGTTGTTTACGAAAACACGGGTCCCCGCGGCATGGTTCGTTTGTGATTTCGAGCGCGCGGAACGCGAAACGACACCGTCGAAATCTAATGCGCGGGCGTCGTTATTAATTCGATGTCGCCACCGGTTAACAGGTCGTTACTGTCGTTGTTGGTTTTCATTTGGTGCGGTTTTTTTTTTATTCTTTTTTAATCGGATTCATTTTATCGCGCCGCCGACCGAAAACAATAAAATAATATTTGGTCGTCGGAAATCGCCGAAGAAAAACAAACCGGACGGCGCGCCGACGTCGCAAATGTTGCTCCATTGTTGTTATGTTCGACCGTTCCCCCTCCCCCCCCCCGCTCTCGTTGTCGTCAATCGACATCAATATTGCAGTAGTTTATTATTAATGGCGTTCGATTATCCGCGCCGCGTGTTATCGGCGATCGCCATAACACGAATACGTGAACAGTTCGTTTTTCGATTTTCTCGCGAGTTTTCCCGGCGAAATGTGAAAGACCGGGATAAACCACAATAATAATAATATTATTATTTTGTAATTTACGCCCATTAAGGGCAATCGAGTGTGCACGTAAAAATACGATAAGTTCTAGTTTAACACGCGAAAAGAATCGGTATACAGGGAGAAAGAGATAAAAAGGCACAGTGAATTTATCTTATATACCTGACTGTAAAATTTGTAGATAGAAATGATACCTAGATTCGAAATGGAGGAGGTTAGCTTTAGTACTTGGTCATTGATAGAATAATTAAACGTAAACGGATTTTTACTTCTAGTAAAGGATATTTGTGCACACTTTTGAAATTTTAAAATCGAACCAAATCATCTCGCAACCCCATAAAGTCCTCGAGGGAACGCACTTCCAAGTATTTAGGTCGTGTCGGCAAGAAGAGAAAATTTAGAAAAACGGAATACGCGCTGTTTAAATCATTGATAAAAAAAACAACAGAAGCAAGGCAGCAACACGGGAAAACCCAGGAAAACCAGTTAACATGTTTATGAACGCTTGGTAAATTTGAATTCGTAAGGCTTTCGTCCACCGTTCGGATACGTTTTTGTTCTTCTCTTTTTTTCTAGAGACTAGATAGCATCGTAAATTGGCATCGCCTCTTCGTAAATAACACCGCGTTCGTTTATATATTATATTAGTAAGAAAAAAAAAAAAAACTAAAAGAATTTAGATTTACCACCGTCACCGGTCGTGTATATAATTTATTATTATTGTTTTAACGATCTTAACGCGTTTCGGGGGTTTAGCGGCGTACCGAAGACCGGAAGACCGGACGTGCGTTATTATTATATTTTGCGCCGTCGGTATGCTTTGAGCGCCGCAAAGTTCCGTCAAAGAGTTAAATCCTCCGAGTTCCCGGATAGCGTGATAATAGGTGAGTAGAGGATTTGAAGGGGAAATAAAATTATCTTTAAAATTATAACACCCGGCAAACGACACGACGACGGCGTAAAAAAAAGTGTGTAAAAATATATTATTATCAGGGCGGGTAAATTGAAAAAAGAGGCTGAGCGAAATTCTTCCGAAGATTGTTTTATACCGACGGAGAGTATCGACAATTTCTACTTGTAATAGTTGCGCGGTTTTTTCTTTTTTATACGGATTCGGTTTTTTAAGCAGAAAGGGAAACTTGCGCTCAGAATCGTTTTTTCATTGATAAGCGTTTATCGTTGCTTACAAGTATATATTAAATTATATATATATATTAGTCAGTGGCTGCTCCAGTTCGCATTATCCTAGGACGTCTTTTTTCTACTTCTACAATTGACTTGATTGTTGACTGCCTTAGAGTACGTAAAATGTTCTAAAGAAAAATATTTGTTAGTGTATAAAGAATACATGTTTCAAAAATTAAGGAAGATTAAGAACGAACACACACTAAAGATAATGCAGTTGTACACCACAGAGACTAACACAATCACATACCGAATATAGCAGAAATTGATGCTAAGACAATGTTATCTAATATAAAATAAATGGCATCTAGTCAAATCGAAGCTACGCCTAATCGAGTAGTTGCTCAAATCCCATCTTTATCTCAAGTAACGTGTGCCAGTTTACCATCAGTGCCAGCTATGAAATAAATTGCTCAAAGAATCAGACGTCGAGAAAATGTCCCTCCATCAAATCCTTTGACTGTAGCAGAATTAAAAACTATCGATCCGTATACGCACGCGTACACTTCATAACGATCCATTCCTTTTTTATGACAGTGGTGTTGGTGATCATGATCGGAATTAATTATTTTCAACGGACGAAAATTTGAAAATGTTATCATCCGGACAATGTCACCGGTTTATCGATGGCACATTCAAATGTACCTTAAGCTTCTCACGACACGTGCTATCCCCTGGACGGGGAAATTAATAGGATGAGGAAATGTCCGATGCGTAAACGGCGACAGTAAACTACCGTGACATGCTAACCGTTTTTTTGAACCGACGAGGCCGACATTCGAATTTCGTAAAAAGATTTATACATTCCTTCGCAAAGTCGGTTTTCGTTCAGCGAACGGTTCAGCGTTGAGCTTGCGGATATCAATGTTAATATTAAAATTGACAGCGCGAACGGGGCCCGATCAACCGTTCATCATCTCTCCGCCCGCTCCGCTTTGGGGTTTTATCGATTTTCGCCGGGAGAAAAAACAGAAATAAACGACTGATCCGTGCAGCGTTTAGATGTCTGAACCGCGGTAAACGGGCCCGACACCGATTTCAACACAATATTCGGCCGGGCGCTTTTGTTCGCGACGACGGCGATACGAACTTTCGGTAGTTAGCGTCGTAATATTATTATAATAATTATTTAATAACGCGGCGAATATACCGAACTCTATTACAGCGACGGCGGCGAGAAGGGTTGGTTGCCGGGCGGCGTATAATAATTATGAATCCTCGGTCGCCGACAACGTCCCCGTCCCGGGCCGTGCACCTATAACGCGTCGACGGCAACACAGTCGCGCGGTATACCGCGGTGTGCTGTGTGTATCGTTGCGTCCGCCGAAAATGTTCAATATTTTCGGATTCGGCACATCGAGCGCGCTATTATTGTACGGCAGCAGGCATGGTAATTTCCGGACGATTCGGGTAATTCACCTCCTCTGACCGCCCCTCCCTCCCCGTGACGAAACACGTGAAACATATATTCGCGGACGAAACGAAATCATTCATTCAACCACACCCCCCCCCCCCCCCCCC